GGGTATTAATCAATCTAAACCTTTTGGAGTCATTCCTGAGAAAAGGTCATCATATTATCCAGAATTACAACAAATATCACTGTGAAATGTCCCCTAACATTTTATCAGACTCACCCTGAGGTTCCAGCAGGCGGGGTATATGCAGCTCTTGCTCAGCAAGGTGAAATGCTTCTTCCAGGTTCTCCTGGTTGCTTCTGGATTGGACCAGTGAGAGATCAACTAACTGAGGCCTGAGAGAAGACAGGATGGCCAGGAAGACCTCTCCACTTCTCCAGCTTGACTTAAAGTCCTTCACATTAACAGAGCAATGAACTCTAGAAAGAGGAAGACAAGGTCCACAACCTTTAGATGACTAACGCATTGATCACTTAGATGGGTCGCATTGAGAAGATTAAAAAATGACAAAAAAGAATGTTATTAATCATTAAAAACTCAAGATACCAGTGTAAAAAAATGGTTACAGCATAAACATTGTAAATATTAAAATTTATACAATATAAAGAAAAACCCTCACTTTTTGCATTGGTCCCTGACCCACATGAGCAGGGCCTTCTTGGCAGATACACGGAAACGTCTGTGGAGCGGTGATGTCCGACCTGCGGGGACTGGACTAGCTGGAACAGGGCTGCCGGACCAGGAGTCCAGGCTGGAGAGAGAGTCGAGGGAGGAATGACGCGAGCTGAAGGAGAGCGCACTGGCCAGCTCCTCAATCTAAAACAAACAGAGATGGTAAACATATTGTGCATTAACTGATCAATACCTTCATAAAGTTAAACTTAGAATCAGTGCAAGGATTTTTAAACAACTGTGATAAATCTTAACATGTTTTGTTAAGATGTCCTGCCATTAGTATCTGAGTAATGCTTCATTCCACTGTACTCACGTGACAGTGGAGTATGACGGTCCATACGAGGCCTAGGATGATGGACGGCCGCCCATCTATGATATCTGGGATGTTAATGTTCACCAGTTTGACCTGAAGCACACCGAACAACAGCGGCAAAAGCATTAAACACACTACAGACACACATATATTATATTGTAATGTTTTTCAGTGTGCAAACGTACATTTTTTTTCTTGAGAAATTTTAATGCCGTCTCAATATTGGCCCTCTGCTGGAAAACCCCACGACCTTTTTGTCTTTTCTATAATGACAGTGGCAGACAATTCTCAATATCAGTTATGCCATTTTATCTTCCCAGTAGTTGTCTTCACATAAGGAGAAAATTAGAATTTATTCATTTCACTGATGTTAAAACTCACCATCATCTGGCCACTCATCACCTCCAGCAGGTCGAGCAGCTTTGACCCATCTCTGAGATCACAAAATAGGTCTGACACAAATGAGGGCGGGCTTCCCTGTAGCAATGCACAAAATATAGTTTTACTGATTTTATCTGCACAATGTAGCAAAGTAAACAAGCAGGTGTGTTTGTATAAAAGCTATTTCCAGTTTTTAGAACCACAGAAATACGCAGTGAGTTTAAGCTGACAGTGACACCTAAAGTTGAATTACGTATATTATTTTATATAATTTTGCAATTATAATAAAATCTTTGATCTAAACAACTCTTGGTCACACTGGGTGTTAAACTGAACGATAATTATAGAAAAGAGAATTTTTTTAGTGCTTCCGTGTGTCAAAGAAGCTGATGAAAATATAATTTCTGACCTTAACTGACATCAAGTGCAGCAGGAAGCACAAAGGTTAATAGAAGTTGTCTTCTTCATTGGGCAAAGTCCAAAGTGTGTATGCCACTTTTTATTGCACAGTAACTTGAAAATTTACATGCTACACACAAAATATACAGCACGAGCCAAGCTGATCCACATTTTAATGTTTTGAAGCTGCAATGTGTTTATATAAAAGCATTTTCTTGTTCACAGTGGCAAACACCGACCTCTACGTATAAAGGAAGTACCTCGGGTTTGCTAGTTTTGATTTCGGCTTGGAGCACAGTCATGTGGACATGAGCTGCCTCGGTTCATGTTACATGTTGTTCAGCTCTACTGAGCACTATTTATACCCCAGACTGGTGTCAGCAGCTCAAGGTGTCTTTCCCATGAGATCCATGAGTTGCTTCCCTGCTCTCACCAGTGAGTCAGCATGTTACGCTCCCCAGCTAACATGCAGCTAACCTTTCAACCACAGCATGAAGTCATGTTAATCTGTATTGCTGATAAAGCATCTGCAACATTTACTTTTTGACTGTTTATGTCGCATAAAAAAGTGCATTGAGGACAAGCAATGCAATTTGCTGTTTTCTTTGTACATGTATTATGCAGATGCATGCCTAGAAGTATATATACCATTTTCACCAATTTCCTAACTACTATAGTCTTTATTAAACATCCACATTCCCAACCAAACTGTTAATAAAGCACCAGGAATTACTTTAAAAGCAAGGATTTGTCAGTTATTTGGCACTACCTCAAGCATGAAATATCTCAAATTTGAATTTACAGCTGCATAGTCTGCCTGCAGTTTGCCATTCCCTTTGCCAAACAAATCAATATAGTTAAATTCATTGTGCAGCTTACACAGATATAACACCTTAACATACCTTAGCAAGTTGAGCATTTATCCAGTTGGTGAATGTCCTTTTCTGAATCTGTTCATGCTCCACTGTTAGGGAAATATAGATAGAAATTGTTGATAGAATGTATAGATTTCTTTGATTAGAACAGTACTTAAGTATTAGACACTAAAAAGAGATACTGTTATGCTAAAGAGAAATGAAAATACAGTCAAGCTGGCTGATTTATGCAAAAGCTTCACTCAAACGCAGCAAAAGCCTCAAAAGTGTCTAGTTCTGTTCTTGTCTCTAGGTCTGTGTGAGCCATCAGTTTTAACTCCTAATGCACTAAATGCACAATATCAACAAATACATTACGGCGTATTCCCCAAAGCACCATTATTATTATTCCTTTACTGTCCATATCAGGATCATGCTGATGTAACGTCCATAACAAAGCTGTAGTTTATAACTGCAAAGGGACCTTTGTTGTGAGTTATAATCACGAGGAGGTCATAAACTACTCACCGACATCAGAAAAAGAGAAACATTTTTGACCCTCCATTCTTATAATGAATAATTAACAAACCCATGAATAATGATTTTAGGTGTCCACAACATAAAGCTTCTGTCTTGGCCACCGGATAATCCTGGTGTCAAAAGCTTCTTCTTTAAGCTAAAGACATGCTAAATGCTAGGATCTCCCTAACAGATGGGACAGCTTCCAAGTCACAGTCACAGTCATAGATACTGGGGCATGCGCACACACACACGCAGAGCAAATATACACACAGGCACATTCACAGTAACAACAAATGCCCAGACTGACACATGTACGCACACACAGAGTGAGATATTTTGGATCAAATGATGCTTGATGCGCACAAGAACACATCCTAAACTCCCACTATCAAAACCTTTGCACTTTTTACTGTAAATAACATCAGACTGCTTTCCTACAGTAATCAGAAAATGAAGAAAAGCATGAAATTATCAGGGAGTAGTTGCCTGTTTCCATCTCAAGTCTAACCACAATAAGTTACATAACAGTCAACGAGACCCGAAAGCAAGCTGTTGACAGTAGCCTTAAGGAAATATAATATATTGATATTTTGTCTGACAGAAACAAAAAAGCCCACAGACACTTGTTTTGGACTCGTTTCCTGGTATCAATTTTGACCAAGAATCTGAGCAACTAATGCTTCTGTTTGTTTAAGAGCTTGCCAAAACAGGCCACTCCCGAGCATTTGAAACACTGAACTCCACCCACCTCACCTGGCATTGGCGGCATAAAGGCGTCACCACATTAACGTCTGAAGCCCTCATTGGATTTTTTTCCTTTTTTAAATCCCTGGATTTAGTTGGTTACAGCTCTGGAACTCTAAGGCCTAAATGAACCACCTTGGACTCTACAGAAAGCAAAACTTGCGAGAATTTTAAAATACAGTAATTCCCCTGTATGTAATTTTCTTATCACAAGACAACAGTGAGGTTTTCACTTTCACCAAATCAAAACTTCCTGTTCTCAGTTCATTTTTGAGTAGGCATTAGCTAAATATGCTTTTCCAGGTCAAATCACAGTGATTGAGGCAAATGTTTACAAGTGATCACAAAACAGGCATGACTAAAATTTGTTTCAGTTATTACTTTTCTTAGTTGTTTGACCTTTACTCTGCAGAAAGACATATGTTTGGTACTAGAATGCATCTTTCATATTTTTAATCAGCCTGAGTCTGAGTTTAAGGCGTGGGCATATGAGCAGCACTGATTACATCACAACTAATTTGGTATAATATGCGGTTTACACATGTAGAAACTTGAGGTTTCCATTGCACATACATAGGAAATGGGAGAAATCTTGTATCCAGTAGTTAAACTTCGAATCTGAAAACAATACTTGCTTATTTATAGATGTTTTGATCAGATTAATGAATGGAGTCATATTAGTTTTTTCTTCAACTGAGACACAATTACAAAGACTAAGCGATCCTGATGTAGACCCTGATGAAGAGTCTTGTTTTTCAATTGTTGCCAATCTACTCATAGAATAACTTTAACTACAATTTTACTTGAAAACAGAACTGGTTTCTGCAGTTATACCCCTTGTGGGATCAGCTATCAAGGCCATGCAACCTTTGGTAAATGATGTGTAAGATTTTGGTGATATTTTTAGTATCAATGCTGAGTGACTCTATGATGTACTATTTGCCATGATGCTCACACACTGCTTATATGCGTGTTTTGGTACATAGCTGATATCAAATATTCCTAGATGCAAATAAATGGAGACAAAACAGATTTTAAAAAAAGCATAGTGTTTCTTCCTTTTTAAAATGGGCATGAGTCACATACACGTAATTTATTTGGGGAATTAAAACAGAGTCAATAATAATTGGAGTTCTCTTGATAAAAGGTGAAGTTTAATGCAGACTTGATGGTGTGGATCAAATGAAGCCGAGCAGAGAGATTGCTTTTATTGAAAGGTTATTTGTCATGAATCTTCAAAGTAAAAGACTAAGACGCAACAAAGTGCCAAACCATCCTTTTAACTGCAGATTATCTTCTGAACTGGGGTAGTGAAAGTGCTGTGGTCTGCATGTGTTTTATTATACAGCTTTAAAAAAAATACGCCTACACTAGAAAAACGTGAGCACAACATTAAACACTTTCTAAGCACGATTCAGTCTTCGGGCTGGAGTTGTGCTTTTCACACTTTCACTTTCATTACACTACCAGTTCTGTAGTTTAGAACTGGAATGCTAACTTCACAAGTAACTGTGATGGAAAATAAAGTGAAGCAGAATTTTTTTATCTATGCAATTTTGTAATGTTTCTCCAAAATTATTGGTCTTTAATGAGTAGCTGATCTCAGAGAGTTGCTCACCACCACAGTGACTCCCTGCGACAGCACATCACATGTCACAACATCTATGTAAGTGCAAAAATAGCCTGACCTTGGAGAAGCATGTGCACATTGTCGATGTCCAGTGGAATCCCTCCATCGCCTTCTTCTGCTTCACCTGAAGCCATGCAGTCTCCACAGCAGAGCCCAGAATTGACTTCAGGAAAGTCTAGGAGAAAAATATTAGTAAATCATCTGCTCGGGGGGAAGACCGCAACACTGAGGCTTTTCTTCTAAAACATTTTTCTACTCACTTGTTAGTCATATTAGGAACACACCTATCCACACCCTTGCTTTTCTGCAGGCAGACAGGCTCAGGCACACACTCTCTGAGCTGAAAAAAGTAAAAACTCTGGCGTCCATAATGAGCTACCAACACACTGCCATAGTGTGGACATACAAAAATAGATGACCTGGTCACAAATCTTTAACATACCTGTAAGCAGGGCTGTAGTCACTGCAGACAGCTACTGCAGGGCATGGCAGTGAAGAACCCAGATGAGAGTTAAGAGTGTACAATAAATCTCCTCAGCTGTGTCCTTTGAATATGGCAAAACAGTGTTGAGTGTCTTCAAATAGGATATGGCCTTTAGTGCTCATAAATGAAACAAGGTGCTTTGCTTGTTGGTGGGAGAGAACAGCAAAGAGTGGAAAGTCCCGCCCTGTCTGGCTGTATAAGCAAATCATTTACGCAGACTCTCAGACAAACCCAGCAGCCTTTGGCTACAAAACAATCAAACACTGTAAAATCGTAAGGTGAGCTTCTTTAGTGTTCAGCTCTATTTATTAAAGCAAATAATTGTATTTCAGGAATCAAAAGTGCTTCTACTTAAATATTTTTTATAGGACAGCTGGGAATCACTAGGAAAGCAGTGTCATTCCAACAGTGAGCAGTGAATAATCTTTCTCATCAGGTTTCATATTGAGTGTAAAACACATGGATGACCGGGAGAAGCACAGTTACAAAATTTCTGACCTGAAAAGAATAATCACCATATCGTGAGCTAAAATGTCTCATTGCTTGTTATTTACTTGTCTCACCTAAAGAGAAGGTAGGAGTTTTGAATGGGAGAACATGATACACAATGCCATTTTTACCCTTGAGAGAGGTGCCAGTGTTTTATTTGTTATTTCACTATGGTGAGCAGTGGAAAGTCTTTGTGCCCCGGCAGCTGCACCCTTACCTCAAATTCCCACCTGTTATGGCTGTGGCAGAAAAAGGTAATGTTTGAAAGCGGAGCAGGCTTTAAGGTTTATCTGCTATTCTTTAGCTAAACGCAGACAAGGTACACTTTGAGAGTTAAAATTTAAAGTTAGGAAGTTAGTCTTCCAGCTCAGTACGCTGACTTTTAACACTTATAAGTTGCTGTCTACTTAAACCCATGGGTTGTCAAGAACTCAAACGCAAAGAAACCGAGCCAACTGTTAGCATTTGATCTTATCTTAAAACATACTTCTGGCTTACCAAGCAATAATCAACTGATTATGAATATTCAATTCAGTTCAATTCCATTCTGTTTTATTTAGACAGCACCAAATCACAACAATAGTCGCCTCAAGGCACTTTATAATGTAAGGTAGACCCTACAATAATACATACAGAGAAACACCCAACAATCATATGATCCCCTATGAGCAAGTACTTTGGCGACAGTGGGAAGGAAAAACTCCCTTTTAACAGGAAGAAACCTGCGGCAGAACCAGGCTCGGGGAGGGGCAGCCATCTGCTGCGACCAGTTGGGCTGAGAGAAGGAAGACAGGATAAAAGGCGTGCTGTGGAAGAAAGCTAGAGATTAATAACAAGTATGATTCAGTGCAGAGAGGTCTAATTACACATAGTGAGTGAGAAAGGTGACTGAAGAGGAAATAGTGAATGCAAGAAATAGTCAATATGAGGCTAGACTTGCAATTGCAATGCAAAAAGTACACTTTGCAGTCCATACCACTTATTTTAAATATTTAGTTACACATTACTGCAGACCTTAAAAAGATAAATCTACTAGAAAAAATATACAATAACATATAGATAAACTATTACTATAGATACTGTATAACTAGATATATATATTATAGATCTTTTACACGTCACAGTCTACCTGAGTATCAATGCTGACCATGTCCACCCCTTTATGATCACAGTGTACCCATGGCTGCTTTCAGCAGGAAAATGCACAGTGTCACAAAGCTTAGTTTGTCTCAAACTGGTCCCTCCATTCGGTGGCACTACGGAGCAAAAACGTACCGGAAGTACTACGCTGTTGAAAGTAGAAGAAGCTTTCCCCCACGACTTTGACGTTTAGCAGCAGCGCTGTCTTGACCTTCCTTCTGCAGCGTGACAAACTAAAATGTAAGGGTGGATTTCATTTTTATTTAGCAAGGTTACTTTAACGATAACATAACAACACTCAGTGCATCACGATAGGTATTTAAAATAAAGCTGGATGACTAACTGTGGACATGTATGCTGCCTTTCCAGGTGTTTCTTGCTAGCTAGCGTCTTGCTAAGGCTAGTTGGCGTTCTTTGTAGTTCTACAGAAATGATGCTAATCTGTCCGTCACGGGCCGTTTTATTGAATGAAATAGTTAGCTTCTCGCGCTAAGCTGTTATTTATTTACGTGTAAACTTTCTCTTTTTTCTCGTATTAGCGACATGTATGTATTTATTATTACACGTAACGGGTAACTAAAAGCTTGCTAGCAGGCAGGTCGGTATCAGCAGGGACATTAACCCAACAAGTCAGTTAATCAGTAGTATAATAAAGTTTAGAAAAATGTTTCTTTAACGCATCTTTTCTTTGGTGGCCATAGTCATCAGATAGACCTCCGTGTTGAGGGTCAAGGTGTCACTCTGTGCGAATTAATTTCTGATTAACTGGCTTCTGAGAGTTAGCTATAGTCGAAATTGGTGCTGACTGAATGTTAGTTTAGTGTTCATGCAGCTTCGGGTTAGATATTCAGATTATGCAAGGTGGGTTTTTTTTGTTTGTTTTTGTTTTTGAGGATTTTAACAGAGGACCTGTAATGTCATACTTTGCTGCTGCTTCCTCCTTCAGATGGCTGGACGTGCGTTTGCAAGCTGGTGGTCCCTGATGAGCCCTTACTACACTAAGGCATACCAAGAGATGTGGCCTGGTCTTGGCATCATGACATACCTGTACTACAAAGTTTCCTATGGGGGTGAGTTCAAAACTTAATTATTATTTATAACATTATATTAGATGTCATCTACTAGAAGTGCAGATAAAATATGACATGCAAACTTAAAATGACCCTTTGAACCTGTATTGTAACTGCCTTTTTTTTTTTTTTTTTTAGTAAACAGACTGATTGAAACAACCTGTTAGGCATCAGTCTGCAGTTTCTATGCCAAAATCTTCAAATTAATATTCGCTTTTGTGTGATTTGTGAGGTGCTTTCATACAGTCTCTTAATTGCAATTTGTATTTTACTGCTATGTGAATGCTTTGGTCCTTTATTGAAAAGCTGTTAGTAAAAAATCATTAAAGTATTACTGACAATCTAGATGGGTTGTTTCATTGTATTTGTTAAACAAATCTTTTTGGTTTTCTGTCATCTCAGGCAAGAAGAAGGCTGTGAAGGACAGTAAGTACTAACTTATTTTACCAATACTATAATTCAAGTTCAAGAAATGTGACTTTAAGTGTGGTGACATAAGTTTGTCTGCAGTGCTGGGAGCTATACCAAATCGCCACTGAGCTTTGTAAGCACTATGTGGCATTTATTTTTATTCAGTAATGCTTAACAAGAATATTAAATGTATTGGCTATTTTAATTGCCAGATTATCTTGAGACACATAATACAACATAAAATATACCATGACAGTCTCTAAAAAATTTTGTGACAAAGATGAGTTATGGTAAATGGCCTGTATTTGTATAGCGCTTTACTAGTCCCTAAGGACCCCAAAGCGCTTTACACATCCACACATTCACACACTGGTGATGGCAAGCTACGTTGTAGCCACAGCCACCCTGGGGCGCACTGACAGAGGTGAGGCTGCCGGACACTGGCGTCACCGGGCCCTCTGACCACCACCAGTAGGCAACGGGTGAAGTGTCTTGCCCAAGGACACAACAACCAAGACTGTCCAAGCCGGGGCTCGAACCGGCAACCTTCCAATTACAAGTCGAACTCCCAACTCTTGAGCCACGATCGCCAACCCATTGTTAAATTCATTAAAATGAATATTCCCATTCACAGGCCACCATACATATATTTAAAATGAAGCTGTAAATTAGTTAATCTGGTTAGTTTGTGAAAAGCACACAATTACAGCTTTAACCAAGAACATCTGTACCATAAAGTGGTGCAAAAACGCAGATTCAGACTTACTCAGAATGAGCTGTATATAAGAAAATGGCTTAAAGTTGCTGTTGGTGACCACTGTCATATTTAGAATAGAGGAAATATTTGTGAATGTGTAAATGTAATGAAAAATCTGATTTAGACTTGATCTGAGATTGAGTGGTAGAGCAATGAACATGATCTGTACCACTCTGGAAAAAGTCAAGTTATTCTGTTAGATGGTGTGCTGTTGCATGTGTTTACCTCCAGATGTCACTAGCGGGTTACTTGTTATACAATTATACAATCTTGTTATTTCTTGGTGATATTTGTTGCTGCAATATATTGACTGTAATCTCATCTTGCATGGTTGGACAGGACTTACTGACTTTTACTGATTAAACATTTTCCTCTCTTTATTTTTTTCCCCCAGAGCCCCACCATTGAGCTTTCCACCATGCAGACCAACCCTCCACCTGTTGTGAAATAATACCCCCCAATCCAGAGGCTCAGCTTCATATTAGAATTTTTGTTAATATGGAACAAATAAAGTTGTTTTCCTCAACTTTGGTTAATTTGGCTTTCTCTCTCTCTCTATCTCTCTCTCTCTCTTTTCATAAAGCAACAGCACTAGATTTTCTTTTTCCTGTGGTGACCGTAGACACACAAAGACTAACCAAAATAAGATCACAATCAAGAGAAGGGTATATAAATGATCCTTAAGCTCTTCTCTGAACAAAACCATGAGAAGACTTAAGTGTCTGCACTGTTTTTAAATAAAAAGGCCTCTTGATGATTACATTGAGGTCAATAAATTCTTAA